ACATGTGCTGTGAGCCAACCACTCTCCTGAGGTCATTATGTACCTAATCTCATTTAATCATTAATACTGCATAATAGGTACTATTATTATCCCCTTTTGAGAGATGATAAATAAGAGTTAAGAAGATAGGTGAATTTCCCCAAATCCCCAATTTTAAATATGAAATATGAACATAAGCAGTTGATATTAGATCCTGGGCTCTTAAAGGCCTCATATACTATCTCATAAAATAATATTTGATATTGATGGATGAATAGAATTTCCTCTCTTTTATGCCAGTTCTTTAAAACTTCTCTTTCCAACTTCTTATATATACAACCTTCAAATTACATGCATGATGAAAATATGCACTTGTACCTTTTTTGCAGCCCATATGCTAACTCATTTACCAATCAGAAACAGTGGTTGGTTTGTTAATATAAGAAATGTTTAAAACAGAGAATCATAATAAATTGACATGTTTTTCATACTTCTAAAAATATTTTTTAATTTAGTACATGTTAATATGCAGGCTTTCACACATTTTTTTGATGAAGAGCCAAGGCTGTTTCTCTTTAACTATACGCCCAAGTCATCTTTCTTACATACACCATACCCACACTTCATTGTATACGACTGTCAGTGTCAGTTTTTTTCTTACAGTGGAAATAACTTAGATACTTGGAAGCATTCTGAGTTGAAAATTTTTCAGGTACGTTATCATTTTGTTTTCGAATCTTTATAGTTGTATCTCCCCTACGTAATTTAACAGAAATCTATGTTAGGGCCAAGGAAATCAATTATTTTTTGTTTGATATATAAAACTGTACTTTCCTTCGCGGTTTATCAACTTAAATTTCCATTTAAAGGTGGCAATCCAAAGTCAGTTGTCATTTAAAAAGTGTCTGGGGAATTATACTTGTATTTTCTTAAATGTTAAATATAAATATTTCTATTATAAGGAGAGCCTGCGAAGTAGAGTGTTTTATATTGCTTGGTTACTTTTTTTTTTTAAGGAAAAGATTTGTTTGATCACCCGTACCATAAAAAGACTCAACTATGGTTTTATGCTTAGCATTATTATTTCACTCAAAGATGATTTCAGGCTGTTAGCTTAAGACTTTATTTTAAACTAACTTTCATATAAACTTCACCTTGAATATTTATTATCACTATCTCAGATTTCACACATTAAAGAAAATATTTCTGAGTATTATTTGGTATACTTAGAAATTTAGTTATATTATTTTTAAAGTTGAATAGGTGTGAAACTGCCTTCTGGGCGAGTCACTCCTTTGTTTCATATGCGAAAAAACTCTACCATCTACCAAAGACCCTCTCCCTTAAAATTCCTTATATGTGACTCACTAGACACGCCTACATCTTTGTTACTTGCCTGTTGTTTACTGAAATAGCTGATCTTCTTCTGTCCTTTAGTCTTTCAGCATTTTATGTGTGGTTAGTCTTGGTGATTCTGTGGCAAATGAGTCTGACTGTTGATTTTAGATTCCATGCCTCATTGAAGCCTTTAGTTATTTGAGCCAAAAAGTGATGATAACTTCTTATGTGTTATACAACGTTTGACTGTTATACAATTTTATTCTTGAATCAGAAAACCAATAAAGCAAAGACTTGACTTAATTATAGTAGGGAGTTTTTCAAAAGTAAAAATTTTTACTTTGGTTTCTTAGCAAAATCCAATATGGATAATATGCTTCTTATTGATTTGAATATTGTTTCTGTTTTCACTTGGAGACCTTTGCTTTCCCAAAAGCTGTAGCATAAGTACCATCGAAATATATAATGTGCTAATTTTTAAAATTCTTATTTAGTACTAATATTGACTTATAAGAATGTTTTAATTTCTGTTTCTATTTTAAAATTAATTCAAGAATTTTTAATAGTTGAGTTTTTTTCTGTGTATATAAGAAATAATTATATTACTTTAAAAAAGAAAACGTTATAAAAAGTCATAAAATGAGAAAATTATAGAAAGACTTGTTCTTTCATCAATAATTCATTAAAAATTAAAATTCTGATTGTCAGTGAACATACTCTACTTTCAGATTTGTAAGTTTTATACACTGAGAATATTTTGAGAAAACTTCTTTAATTATTAATTATTAGAGTAGCAACTAGTGATTTCCTTGTCAGAAAGTTTGAAAATTTATGTCCTGAAAGCAAGGTTTGACTTCAATTTTCAATTTTTCAGGGAAACAGTGCAGTGACTGGTTAGGTGAACTTTATTAGAACAACATGGATAAAGATAAATATTACTCTTTCAGAAGATCACACTAAGTTTTTCAGAAGCATAATAATTAGAGATGTACTTGAATACATGTTTCTACAAGGGAATGTTAACCTACTTCAGTGGCATTTCTCACGAACATTTTTAAAGTTAACAATGTAGGTATGTATGTGAAATATGCACAATTATACATCCTAAAACTATTAATATTACATTTAAATTTTTATATTGATTTATAATAAGTATTTAGGTCTATAGAGAAAAACATGGCCAATGATTAAATAAAGCATTAAATACAGATAATGTTTAGGATCATGACATGAAAAAGTTCAGTATTTATTTCAATGTATTGGTTCAGTGCCTGAGCTGTAGAATCAGAGGACTTGTGTTTGCAGCCTGAAGTTTTCATGTTTCAGCTATCTGATTCTGATTTTGGCAATATTTTTTACTAATAAAAATGAAGTTAATATGAGTATCTATTTTGTAGACTTATGCTGAATAAATACCTGCTGCCACCATTATTATTATGGTTACTATTATTCTTCCAGTGGTAAAAAACATAACTTTTCTATATGATACCTTTACAAAAAATTTATCTATTACTTATAGTTGTTACAAGATTAGATATCTTCATGGATGCTGGGCATTTTCATTATTAACATATTTTCTGATTATAAAAAATAATACATATTCACTTTTTCTATGACATATTCTCCCCACTAAATAATAGTTTATGAGTAATTGACCAATTAAGTCAATTATAGAGCTACCCAAATGTTTTAAACAAGTACATACCACTTTATAATATAGTTGCAATGCAACTTTCCTTTTAACATTTTCCTCTGTCGATATGCATTTTAGCTACATTCTTTGGTTATCTTTATCTGAGCTCTGTTGTACTCTTTATGTCTTTGCCTTTATATTTTCACATATTTGTAGGTTTTCTCTGAAAGATTAGATGTCTGCATCGTATTGCGGGATCATAGGATATATACATTTAAACAAGAAATTGGTAGACTTAGCAAAATGTCCTTCCAAAAATATTGACTTGCTTTTTACTCACTGCTCATTTCCCTAAATCATTACTAATACTTTGCGCTATCAGTCTTCTATTATTATGTCATTTTGAGAAGATGTTAAAAACAACTTTCGCTTAATTTGTATTTTAAATATTTGGAGGCAAATAGTTTCTTATATGTTTGACTATTTCCATTTTGTTTGAATTGTTTATTCACTCTCTTTATCCAACTTTGTCTTTCATTGACCTTTTAGAAGCTCTTTACTTGGATATTTCTTCTTTTCCATGTGGCAAACATTTATTCACAGACTGGCTTTTACCTTTGCTTATGGTATATTTTCTTATGCAGAAGTTTATATCTTTATTTAGTCAGATCTGGCAGTTGTTTCCTTCACAGTTTATGAAGGAAACATATTATTTTTTAACATTCCAAGATTATAAATTAGTCCCATATGTTTTCTTTCAATAATCTTATAATTTTATACATTTATATCTTTTCATCTTTTGAGTTTATTTTTAAGTCTGTTGTAAGAGAATGGTTAAACTTTATTTTTTTTTCCAAATGCATAGCCAAACTAATCTTAACCTCTTATCGAAAAACTCCAGAATTATATTATTATAATTATTATATATACCATTATTGAGCACTTACAATTGCCAGCACAATATTAAGTGCTTTACATATATTATCTTATAATTCTTATAATTAATTCTTATAATTTAATTTTTATAATTCTTATAATTCTTATAATTAATTTCTGAGGTTGGTACTGTTACTATATCCATTTTCAGATGGAGAAATCACAGCACAGAAAGCTTGTCAAAGTAACTTGTCAAAGATCAGGCAGCTAGAAAGTAATAGGGACAGGATTGGGATGTTAGTAGCCCAATTCCATACCTGCACCCTAATCACTAACTGTGTTATGAAATTTAAAATTTAAAATTATGTAGATTCCTTGTGCCTCATATTATGGCAACATTCCAATATTAAGAGTCCTCTGCGTGCTGTCTTTAACTTTATCCACCCTCGTGCCCTTGACTGTGTCCATGCTCTCCCTTGCGCTATCACTTTCTTGCCTATATTCTGGCATGACCAGCAGTGTGGGGAAAATTCCTGGCCTCTGTTTTTTATGCTCTTCATTTCTTCAGCAAATATAGAGTAATGTCTTTCAATCTGATAGTCTGGCAGATGTATCACAGAATTCTGTTACTAAAATTTCTATTCTTACCAACCACAAGAAGCAGGACAATTTAGGAATTTGAACACAAATAGAGTTGCTCTTTATGCTTGTCTCTAATACGAGTTGAATAATTACCACATACTAGGCTAAAATATCACTTTAAAGTATTGCTAACATTATAATTTTATAGTTTATTAATATTATTTTCAAAATGAAATTTCTAAATAATATACATTAAAATGTTGAGCTCCTTATAGGGGTAATTGATATGAGGTTTTTTTCCGGTTCTCTAAAAATTTTTGTCTTTTAAAAATTAATGTGTATCTTTTTACTTCTTCAAATATAGCCTTCCCCTCCCCAAGTTCTAGCATTCAAAACTGTGCCATAAACACAAAAGTGGCAAAAGCTGTGGCAAATTTTGGCAAAATTTGAAACAGAAATGTGATTCGAATATCACTTTACTGCAATCCTGAAGAGCCAACTCAGTCCATTTTGCAAAAAAGCCCAATGTCATTCTCTGCACCTTTATTTCAGGCCTTTTCTTACCTGACTATTCCTTTGTTTGGTGTCTCAGTCTTCAGGAACCAGTATTACTGTGGATATTGCCGTGATGGGTGAGGCTCACGGCCTCATTACCGACCTCCTAGCAGACCCTTCTCTGCCTCCCAATGTGTGCACGTCCTTGAGGGCTGTGAGCAACCTGCTCAGCACCCAGCTCACCTTCCAGGCCATTCACAAGCCCAGAGTGAATCCTGTTGTTTCCTTCAGTGAAAACTATACCTGTTCTGATTCTGAAGAAAGCTCTGAAAAAGACAAGCTGGCTATTCCCAAGGTAGGTATTAATGACGCACTCTTGCAAAGGTTAAGCTTTTTTTTTTTGCCTTCCTAGGTCTCTTGTCATCCCAAACCCATATGCAGATTCATATCAGTGACTCAGTGAAAATGTGTTGAGCACGGTGACCAAAGTAATGAATTTAAACATAAAGGCTTCTGTCCTTATGCTTGATAGCTTTCTGTAAATTAAACTTTTACTTTTTTATGTTACCTTTTTGTATTCAGACTTTCAAGAACTTTTTACTTCTATATTCCAGGCCCTGTTCCATGGGATAAGGTTATAGCAGTGAAATAGAAAACAAACAAACAGACAAAAGTCCCTGTTCCTGTTCTGATGTGGATTCTGTTTAAAATTCATTGCCTTTTGAAACACAGGTTCCTTCACTCTTTGTGTTCTTAGTATGATATCCTTCACAGCACCCTCATGGCTTACCAAACCCAACAAGTTTTGAAATCAGAACAGTTTTAGTTGATTTTGGATTATTTAAAGTCAAAGATGACTTTCGATCCTGTACCCAGTTTAGACCTCACATTAGTTGAAAACAAGCCATATTAAAGACTAAAAAAAACCAATCAGAATCGAAGTGGTCTCTGGAATGACCTGCACTGTTATCTGTTTGGCAAACCAGCAGCCGTCCCCTTGAGCTGGTGGTCAGTCGGTAACATCTGTGCTCTTGATGTTGTGAGTCTCTTGACTCAGGAATGTATCCTTCACAAAACTTTGTCAATTAGATATTTACAAAGTTTCAACATCTACTTCTCTGAGAACGGTATGGCTCAGCATGATATGACAGTAAAGGAATAGAGAGCAATTAACTGATTCCTTTGGGTCTCACAATAGACATGAAGTCAGTGACGGATTTATAGGCAATAATCCTGGTGTTTAGAGTGCTTGATTTTTTTCTCTTCCTATTGAATTACCTTCTTAGAAGTATATCCAGATCTTTAAGAGATGTTGGGAATTATTTAGTATCCGAGCTATTCTTAAATCTCAAGGCGCCATAGACCTTACTTCTCAGAAATTTTCACCACCGTCAGAAGAGCAGACTGCATCTTTGGGAACTGTACTCAAATGGTCTGTCTGTCTACTAGGAGTAGCTAGCCATAAGTAAAAATGAATTGAGCTTCTATTGTTGCAGTTGTAGTAGAATGCCTTCACTTTAATTTTTAAGATTAAGATCACTTTTAGCATGCTGGTGCTTATCCTGGTAATCCCAGAATCTTGTCTCAGTGTCGATGATACGATATATCCTGCTTAGGATATGGAAGGAGATGAAATAATAAAGAGAAAATTGCAGGTCGATCAGGAAAATCTTCCAGTAGGAGGGGTTGGTACTGATGACAGTACCCATATGCCTGTTTAAGTCACATTAACCACTTTGGTGTAGAGACTATTGTACAAGATGATATAAATTAAATCCATGTCCCAAAAAAGTGACTTTTGAGGAAAAACTTCTGCTCATAACTACTACTATAATATAGGTATGTAAATTCTATTAAACTAATATAACTATAAAATTATTCCAAAGGTAATTGACTGTCATTCCCATAATCTCATTTTTACGTAATCATTGAAATGAAGATCTCAAAATGTTATAACATTTATTCATTTTGTTCAGAGTTTCTCTCATTGAATATGTGAGCACCTACATTTTAGATAGATGATGTTCAACCAATATAGTTTAATAAATTCACTTCCAATTAAAAAACATTTTTTTTCCATTATATTACATAAAAGTTAGTGATAGAAAATATGCTTGGTAGTAAAATCAATGCTCCTTCTTCCTAGCGCCTGAGAAGGAGTTTGCCCCCAGGTTTGTTGAGACGAGTTTCGTCGACTTGGACAACCACCACCTCAGCCACAGGTCTACCGACTTTGGAGCCTGCCCCAGTACGGCGGGATCGTAGCGCCAGCATCAAGCTGCATGAAGCACCTTCATCCAGGTTAGGCAATGCTCTTGGTTTCACATCTCTTAGAGAAGTTACTTAACAAAAAGGAATTATAAATTGTGGGAGAAGGAAAGCCCAATCAATTACAGTTGGTTGGAGGCCAGCTTTAAAAATAAAAAAGGTGTATGGTTTAAATGCAGAACAGTATAGAGATTAACATCAGATAATTAGGCTTCAGTCCTGTTGTGTAGTTTTAAATATAAATGGGGACAGTGACTTGAGGTGATGCCTGCCCTTATGACTTTGAATGGAAAGAGTTGAGCCCAGAATAAAGGAAGGTTTGATTTTACCTAGACCGAGATCCGTATTGGGATCCTTAATTCAAGGATATCCAACTTGACATTTGCAAGTGATTGTTAGATTTCTCCCAGCCCAGTTGTCCTAGCATTATATGACAGGCAGAAGATCAGATCAAAAAGTAAATCATCATTCTAAAACACCTAGATATGTTCAAATATTTGGTAATTTAAACTTTATTTAGACAGAGAACAGACTGGTGGTTCTCGGAGGTCAGGGGGTAGGTGAGTGGAAAGCAAAATTGGTGAAAGGGGTTAAAAGGTACAAACTTCCAGTTATAAAATAAATAAGTCATGTGGATGTAATGTACTACATGGTGACTATAGTTAATAACACTATGTGGTATATTTAAAAGTTGCTAAGAGAATAAATCTGAAGTCTTCATCACAAGAAAAAAAATTGTAACTATATATGGTTATGGATGTTAACTAGACTTTTTGTGATGATTATTTCACAATAATACAAATATCAAATCATTCAGTACAGAGCTAAACTAATATAATGTTTGTGTCAGTTATGCCTCCATAAAAATAAATAACATAAGTTTTATTTAGTATATTAATTCTAGTTTAACAAAGTGACTTAAAAGCCAGAATTACCAAAGCTAAAAGAAAGATAATATAAAAATCTAGAAAGAATTTTGAAGAAAACATCATCATGAGAGAGATGCTTCTAGAGTGAGTTATAGTGTTTGTTTATTTTTATTTAGAAAAAAATAACATACTTTATATGAATTCAATAATTATTAGAATATTTACTCTATGATTTCAGTTTTTTGAAACATTTGCATCAATTTTATTAATGACCTAATGATTAAAAAATAATTACATGTTATTGAACTACATGATAGTAATATTAGAATTTTCTCCTGATCTTGGCCTTGAATGTAAATAAAGCACCATTCTGAGATTGGCAGAGGAATGGAAGGAAGTCTTTCAAACCATAAGAATTTAATGACTGCTGACTTTTCTTGTTTTCTTGATTAAAAATATGTTTAATTGGTTTCTTCCCTATTCATATTGGTAGTCTAATAAACCTAGAGAATCAGAAGGAAATGAGTAATTCTTTCACATATTAGTGTAATTCTACTTCCTCTTATTACATGGACTTTTGTAAAACTTCTAAACACCACCACAGGAGGATGTTACCAAATATTTTTTATGAACATTTCCTAAAGCTTGAAATCTTAAGTCATTGGTGATATTTTCCTCTGAAAATATTGACCATCGTCAGTTTCCACAGCAGCAAAACAGATAAGTGGTAGCGAATTGTAGTTACATATTTGTTGCTTAAGAAAATGAATTATGTTCTCAGTGTATATCTTTAGAGAGGATGTCTATTTTGCCAATACACCTTGCTAAGACTACTGTCATAGTATAGTTAATGCTCCATGATTTCCTTTTTATAGAATGACTACCAAAATTCTATTGTGACATTCTTAAATGTCTTCTTTCTTTCTGTTATTGTTTGTAACTTCTGTTCAAATTTTATTTCTTCTACTTCTCTCTTCTCTTAGTTTAGTGAGATTGAGGAATGAAATTGAAATCCTCATAAGTAAGAGGGTTTCAAGAACTTTTATGAGCTTATCTCACAAGAATCCTTTCATTCTGCTTTATGAAATAAATAAGAAAATATTTTCAAAATAAATAAGGAATAGCATATGATCCTACTCTTTCACTTTGTTCTAAAAATACTCATAAATGTCTTACCTAGGTATACTTTTCTCCACTAACTTAGTGTTCCTTAATTTCACTGTCCTATTAAAAGTCCTGATACAAAATCTAAGTGATACAACTTTTTTTAATCATTATTAAGAAGTGAAATTCATTTTGAAGAGATTTTTAGCCCTTTACGGGAAAACCGTATGTAAGTTGCAACAGTACCACCATTAAATTCAACTGGTTTGGATTGAATGATTCTTCATCATGGGTAAAAATGGTAAAAAGACAGCCACATATAATCTCCAGCCCAAGTTATAAACCAAAGTTAAAACCTTTACTTGTGAGTCCTGTTGCTTAAATTGCTGATTGATGTGAGTTTTAGCCCTTCAATTTCTTTCTCTCTATGTCTGTCCTTTCATTGAGACTCCTTAAGGACTGCAGTGATTAAAAGAAGAACCAGAGTGGGAAATGAAAATTAGAAACAGTCCTCAGCTTATATCACTTTGGGAAAATAGCTCAATGATTTACTCCTGGGTAGTTTTAAATACGGCTGAATAGAAAGGACACTGGACAGAGAATCAGAAGGATCTTGGCTCTCCCACTCAGTTCCTTATTATGAGCCTCAGCACCCAGTACAAGAAATCCTTAGGGAAAAAGAGAACTGTGGCACAATTGAGAGCTAAATTAAGTGGAAGAATATGAGTAGGTACTTAAAAAAATAGGCTTGAGAGAAATAAAAAACTCAAATAAATCATACTCTAATCATTCCAAGTTGGCCTTAGAACTGCCTATACATATTAGGCAGAAAAGAGGCAGTAAACTCGGAAAAAGAAATCGCTAGTACCTGGTAAGACTTTTAGGACGTGGGATGAATTTGTTATGGGTAGAACTAAGGTTATAAAATCCACTTTTGTGGAGGAGAATTGAGGTCTTCCACAGCAGACACATAGACAATTTTCTCCTGCTGTGTCAGCATAAGACCAAATAAAGGTTTTCCTAAGCTATTTTCCCAAATCCAAATTATTACAAATTAATAAGATTGAACAGGAATCAAGAAGGTGAGGGTTAATGCAAAGCTGAAAACTATTGCCCAAACTATTATCACACAAAGCAAGATATTTGAAAGTGCCAGTAAATTATAATGCTGACATATACATATATATACATATACACATATATACATATATATACACATATATAACATATTGATTTATTATTTTATTATGTTTTAACAATTAATGTTATATTAAGAATGAAGTATATGTCTAGAATTTTATTTATCTTAAAGTTTATTAATTCCCTGTACATTAAAGGTACTCAATTATTACACTTTATAAAATTTTTAAAATGGGCATATTTTAAATATTTTTATTTTAAAAAATCAAGCAGTAGTTTTTGAGCTACATTTCATAATATAACTTTTTGAGATAGTAAACAAATTCACAAAATATAATAAAATAAATGTAGTTAATGTCAAAATCTTATTTTTAAAAAGTCTACACAGAAAAGTAATAACCTATTTATTGTATAATATTACTGAGAAATTAAAACTGCTAGGCCATATATGCAGTATATAAAATTTCTTCATAGTAAATAAGTCAGTTAGTTAATAGAGTAAAAGAAGTTGAAAGGGAACAGCACTATAAGGAAATGGTATAGTTATCTATTTCAGATTTAAAGTTTCACTTGACTTTATTGTTTTAAAATTCTAGGCCTTTTTGAAATGTTTAGAATGAGATTTCTAATAAGGATATGAAACATTATTTTGTATGCTTTTCTTAATTGTATTTGATAATTGCTGGAGTTCAATCCATATTTCCAATGTCTCTGTTATGATATGTTTTGTAAACTGCTATTAGAAGTAAAAAGAAAAGATGAAGTTTTAAAGTACCTGGGTCAGCCATTGAAGAAAAATCTGAAAATGAAAAAAAGAAGAAATGAGATAGCATAACTATCAGAATGTTAAATCGGACTCAGTACAAATGACAGATCTTACTCATTGCTAAATTTACTAAAAATCAAATGACATAGCCAGTAACAAAGCATATACTCAGCATTCTTCCCTTTGAGATGTCTGTAACAGGGCAGTACCCTAAAAGTCCTTATATTTTACATTAGCACATGTTCTGGTTTGGATTTAACATGAGGGAGTCTAAGCAATACATAATGTTGCTTACACAGAGGAAGCCTTTTTGGTTATGGAATACCTCCAAATTATACCTCATTAATTATACAGCTTCCATGACAATCTCCACCCATTTATGACCCATAATTCCATCAATTTCAGGTTTATTTACAATAAGCCACTCATACAGACCAGGTACATCCTGCTTACTGTGCCAATTGAAGATTGACAGAGCATCTTATTATAGATTTTATCCAGTACCAGAATTACTAATACTTGAAAGCGCACAGTTGTTAGCAAAACACAGAACAAGCACTTTTCCCTTGGAGTAGTCCAAAATTATTAATACAACTTCCTAAATTCTTTTCTATCCCAAATTATAATGGGTTCTGTTTTAGACTTAACATGTAAGGTTTTGTGCGATGCATGCAGATAAGTTTTGGTTTGGAACACCGCCAAAATTTATATTGCATTAATTACATTTCTGTGTAACATTCTCTATCTCAGGTGTCCATAGATCTATTAATTCCAGGTTAATTTACAATAGTGACCTAGACAGACAAGGCTATCCTGCCAAAAGTATTCCCTAGATGAAGACTCACTGTCCATTACCTTTTTCCTAGTAAATAGCACTAGTGTATCTTGCAGCAGGTTCATCATTGGTATGTTTACATAGGCTCATCATCCCTTTCTTTCTAGGGTATCACTAGTAAAAGAAATTCTAGGTAAAAGACCCGTTACTAACCTTTTCCTTCACAAGGAAATACTACAAAGAATATTATCGTTGAATGATTTTATAAGCGTTAAATTTTTGAATTTAGATACACCAAAAATAATAATTAAGAGCATGTAAGGAAACATCATGGTAGTTATAACTAATGTAAATTAACCTGCATCTTAACCAGTTAATTTCTCAAGTTTTTGAAAATCTGTGAGAAACATGATTATAGAAGTAGAATGAAAGGTATTCGATTCCTATTAATTGGATAAATAGAAAAGTTAGCTTTGCTCTTTTGTTAACACAGTATGCTCGGTGAGTGACTGCTATATTCCAGTAGCAGAGACTGAACTTAAATAACAACCTGTCATTTGGAAGTAAAGTGGTTCTGTCACTGAACCTGGATCATGACTCAGACTGGTAAATCTGTTATGGTTGGGTTCTGGTGAGATCTGCCTCAATCTAAATGAATAATTTCTTCATTATTCTCTGTCTCTGTAGTGCTGTTTGTCCTGATTCTTGGAATAACCCGGTGATGATGACCCTCACCAAAAGCAGATCCTTCACTTCGTCTTATGCTGTTTCTGCAGCTAACTATGTAAAGGCTAAAAAGCCAAATCGACCAGGTAAGCAACTTACTGGGAGCAGAGTTTGTACTCACTGAGTGTGCAGTCACGGAATGAACTAAGCCTTCAGTGTTGAGATAAAAGTCAGAGGATGCTCACTCTTGAATGTATCTAGTTTGACTGTTTGAAAAAGAAAAAGCTTTAATAACCAATAAATTACTTAAATTTCCACTGTATGTGATGAAAAGATTCTTTCAAGTTTGCCGTACCAAGTATCCTATCTTAAGCTTATAGATGAATAGGAAACCACTGTCACCATTGAGGATAATCTCTGGAAGCATCATCTTATAATATAAAACCAAATGATGTTCTTATCAAATTTCAATTTTATTTTTAGTGGCTGTTAAAGTAAAACTTTTTTAGGAGTATGACATTTATACGAATTCAAAGAAATGCTTTATTTACTATACATACTACAGTATTTTTCAAAGAAATTCTTATTTTATGTCAATTCCCACCCACTAACCCCAAACATGTAAATACTGAAAGGAAGAGGTATTTAAATTTGGAGAAAATATAGTTCAGAACCTTTTAGAGCCCTTTGAAAAGTCCCACAAATTAGCAACCAAAAAACCCAACAGCACTGTCATGGGGAAGCTTTCCTTCCCTTTCAGACAGGTACAAAATGAAATTCAGCGTGATTTCTTCCATCTAGGATCTGGCATCAACTAACTATATGGAGTTTTATATGTTGGTGTCAGTGCACCCCATATACTTCTAAGCATCAGCTTCTCCCTTCCCTCAAGCCTCATTTACTTAGCAAATATTTGTGTTCACCATTTCAGACATTAAACTAGCTTTAAGAATATGGCAGTGATTAAGCTAGGCCCAGTTCCTCCTTTCACAGAATTCTTACTTACATTGTAGTGGGGAGTATAACAAGTAGTCAGCTATTACTAGATCGTGTGTTAAAGGCTATGAGAAGGAAGTGGGGAAAGTCTTTTAAGTAATGAAAGAGAAGAAAAGAGATACGCAACCCAATATATTGAGAGAAAGCTTGAGGAATTTAAGATTTTAAATGACTGGTAAAGCTAGCAAGCAGAAAGAGAGAGTATTGAGAGCACAGAAAAGGAGATGAAAATAGATATGTAGACAAAGGCCAGAAGGTACAGGACCTGGGGATCTATGGGAAGGTGTTTAGATACCAAAATTAAGGACAATAAAGTTTCAGGCAGGAAAGTAAAATGTTTTGGGGGAAAGATTACCTCACTTAATCACAATCTGTGCTAACTGAAAACTAGAATACAGTTTTTATCAGAGTCTCCAGATTGTCCCCCTCCTAGAATCCCAACTGAGAGTCTGGGATATTTACTATGACTGCTCCTTCCTGGAATGTTCAAATTCCAAGTTTTCAACTTAATCACAATCTGTGCTAACTGAAAACTAGAATACAGTTTTTATCAGTCTCCAGATTGTCCCCCTCCTAGAATCCCAACTGAGAGTCTGGGATATTTACTATGACTGCTCCTTCCTGGAATGTTCAAATTCCAAGTTTTCACCTGTCAGCTCTGTAGAAAACTGGTAAGATTCTCAGTACCTTCCCGTTTGGCTACTTACTCTTCTGCCTTTATAGCAGCTTAGGAATTCACAAAATTGTTCAAGGGAAAATGTGCTCCCTTCTCACTGGACTGTTGGACATTTAAGTTCTGGCTACCGTGGTGGTACCAAACTCCAATTTTTGTGTCATCATCCTCATGACATTGCTAAAAGCTCTGCTGGCTTGATTCCCTAATTTTTGCATCTTCTGCCTGGATTCTTAGCCTTACACTCCATGCTAATGGGTAATAAATAATAATCTGAAAGGAAAAATAGTTCACAGGATTGCTTTGCCTTGATAACTTTTTTTAAAAACTCAGCTTTTCTATTTGTTGTCAAAGAAGCATGGATTTATTACAAACTACACAATCATAGCCAGAAGCAGAAGTCCTCAAAATAGCACTGTTTCTAAGAGTGTTAGAGAAATAGTACTCACATTCCACTACTATTTCAAGAGACCTTCTGGAAATATTCTTTTAATTTTAAGAGTCACAACTTAAAGAAGCATTTATATATATATATATATGTCTAGAATAGAAAATTTAGTGATTTCTTTTCCCTTTGATCACCCACTTTATACTGGTGACTATTTCTTAAAATCATTTAAGGACCAACTTTGCTTAAATCTCTGTCATTTCATATAGGAAGACACTTTCACCAGAAAGTACACATTTTAGGAATTGCATCACTGAAAGAACTCATTATATGTAATCTGGTTTTCCAAAAACTAATCTGGTCCTCTCTGTTCTTTGAGAATGTTCATTCAATTTTGCAATTTCAAAGTCATTAATGACCTGAGAAATAGAATGGAGCTTTTGCCAGGGTCAAGAACAGGACAGTGTGGGCAAATACTTAAATCAAGTTGCCCTGAGACCAAATGCAGATTAGCTCAGTAATGTGGAGACTTATGTGGGATTCCAGCAAGATGGAGGAACTGAATTCGAGCATTTCGCATTAAACCTGAGGCTTTTAAAGGGGCATTAACGTGGTCAGACGTCAGGAGGACCCCTTGGCTCCCTACAAAAATGTATGCAACTAATTTTTAAAGGAAAGTATTACCAGTTAAGGGCCATGTGATTTCAATATCAAGTTCAAACAAATTGGAACTTACCAAGATCATTAAACAAAGAAGAAACACCATGAGTTAGAGAAAACGGTGGGGCAAAAAACTTCACAGCTTTCTAAAAGTGTTGAAATATTAAATGCTAAAATATTTCATTTAATTTAAAAATATTTAAAGAAAATATGAGGTCATAACAGCAATGAGAGAAGACATAATTGCAGAGCAGCTACATATAACTTGTAGAAATGTAATCAAGGAAATATGATAGGTTAAGTGACGTAATAGACTATTGGAGAGAGAATTAGTGAATTGGGAGACAGATAATTTGAAGAAATTACCCAGAATGCAACATAGATGAGAAACCAGAAAGTGTAAACGATTTTAAGAAATACAAGAAAAGGAATTAGAAAGCCTAACATATATAATCATAGTTGTAGTAGAGGATAGGGGACGTAAACTCTTTGAGGAAAATGAAGTAAAGGGGAAAAAGATTCACACATAGTCACAAAATAGTGAAACTACACACCAAAGATGAAAAAAAAAATCTAAAGTCAGCCAGGAAAAAGACAAACTAACTTTTCAGAAAAAGCAGTCAGTCTAAGAGCAGAACTGTCTAAAGTAAAAGCAGAACACAGTAGAATATTTTATTCAAAGTTCTGAGAGAATATGATAGTCAACCTAAAATTGTGTATCTTAGCAAATCTATCTCACAAGAATAGGAATGAACTAAAGATATTTTAAGTTAAAGCTTTACTAACTACCCAATCTTAACACAGGAATTTATGATAAATATGTTTTAGAGATAAAAGTAATACAGAAGCCTGAGATATAATACAAATTTGAATAAATAAATTTGGAAACCATGAGTCCACCAAACAAACATTATATGCATAAATAATAGTATTTCAAAATTTGCGTGTATTTTTTAAAGATTTTTTTTTTAAGGACAGAATTAAAATATAGGACAATAATAATAGGTAACTCAAGGGTTGAAATATTAATTTAAGTGTTCTATATTCTTGTATCTCAGGAAACAGATTTAGATGAGGAAACTGAAGCACAGAAATGTTAAGTAACAAGCCCAAGTTTATACAATTAGTACTAAATTCTTTTTGTTCTAATGACTCTATTAGAAAACAATTGAAGACAACAAATTAAAGAAATTTAAAATTAGAATTTTTTGGTACTATCCTTTAGTGAGTACAAGATAATGAAAGAATTTCATCTTCTGTCTCTGTTTCTTCATTTAAATATTAAAATTAAAATTATTACAATAATCAGCATGGTAAAGTCATAAAGCTGAAAATGTACTCACTTCAGCAGCACATATACTAAAATTTGTATGCAAATACAGAATCATGTTGTATACCTGAAACTAATGTAATGTTATATGTCAATTTTGCCTCAATAAAAAGAAAGAAAAGGAAACTAAAAATTATGATTAGTGAATTCACTGGAAATAATAGAACAAATGATGGAACAGACATGAGGAAGCCTCATCTTCCAGTGCTCTGCTCCCCAATTCATATGACTGCACTCAAGAAAAAAGGGCAAAGTGTCAAAGGAAAGGAAATGTCCATATGAGATAACACAAAGGCAGATGGTAGAAATTAGAGCCACAAGCATGGCAAGAGCCTCTCTTTATTCTTGGCACGAAGTACATAAGGTATCTCCATCATGATTACTTCGGAGGGGATTTTGCATCGTGGCATCTTTAGACTGCTGTTACAACAGAGTTAAATATTTATAAAACAACCTATTTCCTACAATGCTGAATTCAAGTAAACAAATCCCTGAAAGACTGCCAAAAGAAAAAAAAAAATCCATCAAGAATCAGAGAGCTGAAATTCAATTACAGTTCTCCCTGATCAGATGGGCCCTTCTGTTTTGAAACCCTTATTTCCTTTCATTGATGGCATTTTGGGGCTGATTGAGCTAACTAGGTGTGCTATGTTTGATGTAACTGATTGTGATGCCAGCTAGTTTTCAATAAACTGTGTGGAAAGAGACCAGGTAAAGCCCCTTTCTGGGCCAAAGTGTATAAGGAAATGAAATCAAAGTATGAATAGAGTGTGAGGAGGAAAGAAAGAAGCAGTAGGCAAAAGAGGTAGGGAGATGCAAGCATAAAGTAGAGAATAGAAACACTGAAAAATAAATGACCTATTTTCAGAGGGAACTAATGAAATCTGTTCTCTGCACAAATTAAGTCAACCGTATGTCCTCTAGCTTGATCAATCACAATTTAAATAGTTGAATGACAACCAATCATTATGCAGTTACTAATATAGAGTAAATGGATGAAATCACATAGGAGTCCTTGAATTAAAGCATAAAGTAGGAGATTTAAATATAATTTGTATTTTGAATCTTGGTTTTTTATTATGACTCACTGACAGTGTAGAGCTGCCATTATGTCATTCTGCTTTCAAATTCTTCTAATTCATATTTATTGTATTTGCAGTAGTCCCTTACTGGATTCTTATAATTCTTATAAGATTTTTGTAGTCCTGTTACAGTGATTACAGATCTCTGTACACCTAAAAGTTAGATTGAGGTTTTCCTATGAAAATTTGAAATGAGAAAGAACTTTAATCATGACATGATTTTTTTTCATTCTCTATCTTTAGATTTATTTTCTATTTTAAAGAAATATTAGGACTGTCCATTTGCCTGTGGGCATGAAAAAGAGGCATATATTTTTCAGATATACTGGGGGTTTTTTTGTTCAATTAAAATTAAACTGAGAGAGTTTTACAGTACAAAACAGATGGATTCACTTAAATAATTTCCCTCCAGTATTGTTTATCATCTCCCTTTGATTGCCCAAAGTTCCTGTGTTTTGACACACATTTTTTCGTGCCATCAGGAGCAAGAAATTAAAGACTGAATTACTCAAAGGACTTGGCATTTTAGCATTTTTAAAGTTACATTTTCAGTTTTTCAATGCTTTAATTTTGGCTTTTTTACATTAGAGCAGTTTCAGTTACTTGAAGATTTATGTTTCATGAGCTATGTCTTTTTCCTGGAATCTCTTAAAATTACTCAGATATAAAATGAAGAAAAATTAGATTTAAGAAAATACATATTTATCTGAATCCCTGCACCCATGTGTGTATTGTGTAAATGTATGAGCGTGCAACATAATATTAGATAAAATTTCAAAAGTCATCAAGTTCTATAACTTTAGGCATGATTACACTTAAAGTATCTTAGAAAATAATCTGTTCTTGAAGAATTGCAAGAAGAATATTGCTCTCATTTCCTTGGAATATCCTGTTCTCGTGTCTGAAATAATTTTGTTTGTAGTCTATTCTAGAAAAAGAGTATTTAGTTATTATCTGTACTTATATTTCTCCATCTATTTGAAGACTAATATATGTAAACTTGTGCCCATTTCCTATGGCATTCCTAACCCCTTCTACTTTTAAAATTTTAAGTAAACAATGATAATTCACACTGTGAAAAATAGTAGTTTAGTTTGGGGAAAACAGGAATTTATATGTATATACCTTCTATCTTATCACCTCCGGAATAAAAATATCCCTGCTTTTCATAGCTGTTGCCAAGACTCGTGCTTGTTACAAGTGTTCAAAATATGTAGACTGACAGTACTGCAGAAACAAAGTGCTTTTCCTCTGTTTCAAGGTTTATTTTAAATTTCATCCCAAGCAGTAAATTTGGAGTCTTAAAGTCTGCTTATTCATTTAAGTTTAGTTAATCCATGAGTTCTAAGAACTCTAATTGTTGAGTGGATTTTTAAATTTAAGACAGAATTGTGTTTCTCTGAGAACATCAACTGGCAGCTGCTAAAATTTTGTAATGAGAAAAATCACTCTTCTCGTAAATTGCCTTCAGAAAATATGTTAAGTCAAGACAGATATGGGCAATGTTCCCATGGGGTTTGTAAAATAATGGAAGAAAATTGTCAAAAAACTCACAGATATCAAAATATTTAAGAAATTGCCTAAAGCAATGCCTATCAGGAGTCTCTTTTTAAGATACAATTAAAACCTTGCGTTGGCCATCAGCCCTATACAGTCTTGCCCAGCAACCTTTCCAACCACGTTCCCTGCTCCTCCTCTTCCTCTTTGCTAAGTTGAAGCGATACTGACCTCCTGACTGAACCTCTTATCCCCCCAGGTAGGTTCCTCTTTCTGGGATGTGTTTTCCCCAATACTTGTCTAAATGTCTTTCTTGTTTCAACAGGCCTCTGTTCAAATTTTACCCCCAGAGCATTTCTGTCTTCTTCTGTCCTCCACCCTCTGCATTATTTTTCTTCTTATCACTTACAACTATCTAACTTTCTTCCATCTCCTCTTCCAGCTCCTCCTCCTTCTTCTTTCATTTTCCCCCCTTCTTCTTCTTTTTCTGTCTCCCTCCAAAAGAATGAAAGCTTCATGAGGGCAAGGACTTTTTTTGTTCACTACTGCCTCCTTAGTCCCGAGAACAAGGCACACAATCAACATTTGTTGAAGGAACACATCGAATCTTTGAGATACTTACTCTGTTCAAATACTTTGGTGACCTTTACACCATCCCATACCCGCATTCAGCTTCTTACTGGTTATACTGCTTTTCTAAGATAACTGGAGATTCAGTCAGCCATAAATTGAACTGTCCTTTTTAATCTTTTTGTACGTCAGAGCACACACGTATGTATAATAATATGTATGAATACAATAATGTTACATAGCAGTGGAGAAAGGGAAAGGGATTGAGAGCTTGTTGAAATTTTTATTTCCTTTATTTTATAAAATTATAATTAGATTTTAATTATAATTTATAATAATATAAATTTAATATTAGAAAAAGTATTACAATTAAATTTATTCTGGGGCTTCCAAATACAATCATAAAAAAAAATTACAATCATTAGTACTTCACAGAGTACTGCATGCAATGATAGGTTGGTTGGGAAACTCTGAGCTAAAAATTTAGTGAACTTAATTTTCTTTTGGCCTAAGAGATTATATAACATGAGAGTTTGACAGTATCTTTGGTAAAATAGCTAAATCTTTTCAATAGAAATAGAAATCAAAATTAAAACCATCAGACACATTGTTGTAAAGAGCAATAAAGTGCTGCCTAGTAGATAACTGATTTTTATTTTCTTCTTTGGGCAGTCTCTGGAAGACGTATGGGCCAATTAACCACACTCCACTAAGAGTAGCTGGGCTCACTCAATATTCCCCTGCTTACTAGCACTGTGACCCTGGGAAGGTTGTTTTACCTCTCTATATCTAAGTAGTTTCAGTTAATTGGAAAAGCAGGGGATTGACCTGTTGTCGGGAATCAGCAATAGAAATATTGAGAAAAAGACCAGGAGGGGTTGCTGGCCTCTACACTGAATCAGAGTACAATTTCTCATCTTTTAACACAAAACAAAAGAAATAATGATGCCAACAAGAAGCAAAAATTACCAAAGCCCTTCAATAGCTTAATATTCTTTCCAGTGGACCAAGAAACCTTTGGGTGTGACAAATAAAACTGAACTTTGGAAGCAGACTAAGCCAGCTGCCAGTTTACCACACATATTATTTGCTGGTGTGAGAGCTGCTGGCTCTACATTTCCCTGGAGTGGTGAGAAATAGAAAACAACTTTTAATGATTTTGTTTGCCTTATACTAGGTGTTCAGCCATACAAGCATGAAAAACAGTAAGCAGGTAGTTTTCAGAAGTTATTTCTCAGTTTTCTCCCATTTTCAGTAAAGGCTACCTTCTCTGTGTTTGGGAGAAAGTAACTTCAAAAGATCTCGTCCCTATACTTAAACATCGCACTTTGAAATCTAATCCAGTGTTCTGTGCAATTCTCGCAATCGAGAGTAAACACAGTTTGACACAAATATACACACTTAAGCTTGAGGCCTATTGTTTGATCTGGAAGGGATCGTATTACATTTTTAATGTTTCCTTCAGAAATTACTCTGACCAAAGTATGGTTTTACACACACACACACACACACACACACACACACACACATAGTTTCACTGAAAATGTGGATGGTTAATAGAGTTAACATCTCTCAAAAATCTCTTTTTTATTTACAAATTTTGAGCATTGGATGCCTGCCAAACTCTACTCCAGACACTTTAATATTTAAAACAATAGATACTTTAATATTTAAAACAATAGCCGATCCCATTGCTGCTAAAAACTTTACGACCTAAGAGAAGGCAAACACATGAGAAAATTCTAACCAATATCATCATGTTAGGATGACAAGAAGAAACGAAAATAACATCCTTCTGTCCTGAAGTTACTCCAGGACACCAAGGCTGTAACTGGATTTGCCAACATTGCCACCAGTTTTTTTTTGTTTTTTTTTTTCATGATGATTCATTCCTTGTATTCCATGCTGTGGAGAAACCCCCACTGTTCACCCTGTATCCAGATGGTGGCGTGTAGAGCAGGCCACCCCATGACCTGAGTACTCATATGGTCCTTCTTGAGTTAAAAGGAGTCCAAAGTGAGGTTTAAGAATTGCAATTTTGAATTCCAAAAATAAATTTTTTTTTTTTAACTTAGTAACTCTCTTTCTTTCTCAGGTGCCCTCACTAAAATTTCACCTCTTTCATCCCCCTGTTCCTCACCTCTCCAAGGGACTCCGGCCAACAGTCCAGTCAGCAAAATTTCCGCAGTGCAGTTTCCAGAGTCTGCCGACACAACTGCCAAACAAGACCTAGGTTCTCACAGGGCCTTAACTTATACTCAGAGTGCCCCTGACCTGTCTCCTCAGACACAGACTCCACCTGTTATATGTAGCAGGTAAGGATTTTGTGTTGGAATTTAATAATAAAACCAATACGATTTTTCCTCTTAGGAATACTTACTAGCAATTTGCATAGCTGTGTGTATGTTTGCCAGAGTAGTTGACAAGAAAGTACAGGATAATGTGATTTGTGTTGAATAGACTATAATAAAAATAATTTTTCAGTGCATTTCTATTAATAGTAATTTTAGAGTCCATATGGCCCATGCAGCTAATCTTTGGAGATGATATAAAATAATCAGTTGTATATTTTGTCTGCTTACTGATGGGAAATACATAAAACATTTTAAAAATTATATGAAGTAATTTAATATAATTTGATTTTGTTTGAATATTTATAGTTGTTCTTCAGGGATGATTTTATATCGATTTTAAAGGCATTTTATCTTAAGTTTGGAATTCCCATTTTAATACTTTATAAAGGTGCAAATAACACATGGCGCATTATAGCTGGACTAAAATGGGTCTCAGAATGCAATTAAGTAATTGCTTGTACTGCTCTATCATGTTGAAATAAAATTACAAAGCGTTGTCTTTTCATGGAAGATTAGAAAAAGGGCCCACCAGGGCAAAAATAATTATTTTGCCAACATTGTCGCTAAGAAAAAAATACCTCCTCTTACGGATTAATATAGTGTTGTTCTTCACTATAGCTTCATCTTGAATAATTGATTTTAAAGCATTACAATATTTCTTTAAATAGAAAAGAGTTGAGTGTTTTTAAACTAAGTGTAATCATGAGAGTGCCTCAAATAAAATGCTATTTCTTTGCTAAGGTTAATGAGGATAGTTATTGAATAAATTAGTTGCATATTGGTCTCCTAATATTACATGTTGTTTCACAGACTCAGATTTGATCAATATATTCAGTTTTAAGCTTCACAGATTTCATTTTCAGATTCTTTGTTCATAAACTCTGTAAGTTAAATGTTTGTTGTTTCTTTTTATAATCTTTATTTTTACTTCATTTCTCTTTATAAATATTTTTAAAGAGAAAATTATTTTTATTTGTTTGTTTGTTTGGCCAGGGCCAAAGTAAAAAGTTATTCTACCATCCTAAAGTTATTCTGCTGCCCTCTCTATGACAGCTTTTTTAATAAAATAATTTCTTTAGGGTATTAATCTCATCTTCCACCCTCCCCCCACACACAAAGCACGATCTGTGGTAAAACAAACATATTTGCCTTTTAGTGATTCACAGCACACATCACTTTATTAAATGCTCTGAAGTCCTGCAAAAAGAAAACCTCTTGATTTTTTTTTCATCTAACGTTTTCTGAATTTATTTGACCACAGAACCAATTTCTTTAGTTTAACACCCAATAATTGCCCATCGAATGGTGTTGGGGGAACACCTTTAAACATTTTTGGGAGTATACATCCTGAGCCAAGATGAAACCCAGTGGAGTAATAAGCATCAAGGACATCTGCTTCCAGCATTTCCAGGGAGACTCACCCACTGGGGGGCTTCGGACTTTTGTGAAACAAGTCACCTAAAAAAAAGAGAGAGATGTTTAGAAAAGATCTACAGCTCACATAGCTTTTCTCATCACAGTCTACTTTTTGTATTCTTAACAGGAAAAATGTAATGGGATTTTTATTTTAAAAAAAAAGTTTTGGAGAAAAACAAGACCATTTCACTGCCTACTTGTTCAGTAATGTTTATAAATCCAGTAGTGTGTGTTTTATTTGTTTGGGCTTTATAAATCTATAATTCAAACCATGTTTTATTATTGCCTTCAAGGCAGCCACCCATGTAGGCACAGAGAGCTCCAGAAACACACGACTAATTATTGTGGTTTCCTCTGCTGAA